CACTGGTCACCTTTAATGGATCCCACTGAGTGCTTTAGAGCAGCTCCAGGTGAAGCTTCTGCACTGAGACCTGGTTCCCTGCTCAGCCCAGCTGGATCACACATTTATTACTAAGATGGAAGAACAGAAGGACAATTACTCCAGAGATGAAGCGGCTGGTCTCCTGCTCCTCCTGTGGGACTGAAGTCGTTCCAAGAAGCTGCTGTCCAGAGGATCTGCAGATAAACCAGAGAGAACATCTCAGACTGAAGAACTTCATCCATCCATCGTGTCATGAAACTACACCTAAAGCTAATGCTGGGATAAAGACTTGGACCTGATGAACCCGTCTTCACCTTTAACGCTGAGCGTCACCATTTTCTCCTGCTGGATCTTCTGGCCACTGTAGACGGTACATTTGTAGAGGCCATTGTCCTTATAACCAGGATGCTTCAGGATCAGACTGAGGTCTCCAGAACTCAGCAGGTCTTTATCCATCTTAATGTGACGGCGATAAAGCTTGCTATATTGGGAAACTTGAAGTTCTCCATTCTCAAAGGTGATGACCTCAGATTGTTTGGAGCCAGCATGTATCCACCTGATCTTTAGGTCTTCTTCTTCAGGAGGTTGGATTTTAAAGGGAAGTGTCACATATGCTTCTCTCTTTGGTACCTCCACAATCTCCATTTGTAAATCTGAGGATCAGAGCAGAACATCAGGAGTCCAGAGAAACCAAAGGTTGTTCCTTCTGAGGATAGAGCAACTGCTTCCACTCACCTCTGACTATGAGGACCACCACCTTCTGCTGCAGCCTCTCTTCATTCTCATCATAGATGGTGCAGGTATAAACACCGTCAGTCAGACGGAGGTCCCTGATGGTCAGACTGAGGTCTCCAGTGGTTAATGGATCTTTATTCATCTCTGTGTGGCCTCCATAAACCTGGTCCTCTGCTGGTATGTGATGGCCTCTCTGATATTTGTAGAGCATCGTGTCTTCTACATCTGAGAGTCTCCACTCCACAGTGATGCTCTCAGAGAGGAGGGAGGGTGTTGCATGAAAGGGAAGAACGACAGACCTCTTTCCTTCGTCAACAGAAACCTTTTCCACCTTGTAGACTGAGAGCAGAGAGGAACATTGGTCAGATTACCTGAGGTCACAGACCTCAGCAATGAGTTATCATTACTAACCTCTCACAGTGAGCGTCACTACTTTCCGTCTCAGTATTTTTCCATCATTGTCATAGACGATACAGATATAGATGCCGCTGTCTCCCAGTCTGGGATCCTTCAGAGTGAGGGTCAGGTCTCCAGTCTGCAGAGCATCAGGATTCATGGCTGTCCGGTCCTGGTACTCACGGTTCTGTCTCTCTAACTGGTTCTGACCATTCTGGTACTGGTGTACTTTGTCAGGTTTATCCGTGTGGCTCCAAACCACTTTAGCATCTTGAGGCAGGTTAGCTAATGTTTTAAAAGGCAGATGGACAACATCTTCTCCTTCTGTGACCTCCACCTCCTCCATCAGGCTCTCTGTCAGGAATAGAACCAGAGATGCATTTAAAACCATCAAACATCCCTAATGATACAGAATCCTTGTTATGACCCAACCCGGCTCTATTGATTCTACACCAGGCATAAAAGTAGATCTATAGAACAAACCAGAGGTATAAACCCATTAAAATCCACTCCCCCATCAGAAACACTGGGACTGCATGGAGGAGCAGATTCTAGCTCTGTTAACGAAGCACCAAGAAGGTCCTGGTTCTGAACCTAGACTGGGAAATCTGCATGGAGTGAGCAGGTTTTCAGGAAGCTAAACAAACCTGGGTCCTGTCAAACCTCCACCTGCTCTGTGACTTTAACATTATGTCTATTTTGTAAGTCGCTTTGGATAAAAGCTTCTGCTAAATGCATAAACATAAACAATGAGTGTACAGTCTGGGCAAGCATGTGATGCCTTTATTCACTTAACTGGTTTTAATAACTGACTAAATTTGGGTCAGATATCAAATTTTATTCATTGTGTTTGGATCTTTTCTTTCTTCATACTTATGCTAAACGAACCACTCTCTGGAAGACCTCCTGTGTGGCACTGGTTCCCAAAACGCCACACACCAAGAAACCAGCCCACTTTAGACCGATCACCCTGACCTCCCACTTGATGAAGAACATGGAGCACCTCATGCTTGCACACCTCTGCACCGTGGTGAGCCACACCCTGGACCCGCTGCTTACCAACCTGACATCAGAGTGGAGGATGCCATCATCTACCTCCGGCAGTTGGTGCTCACCCACCTGGAGACCACCGCGAGTGCAGTGGGAGTCATGTTCTTGAACTTCTCCAGCGCTTTCAACACCATCAGACCAGCGCTGCTGAGGGGGAAGCTGGAGGTACGCCTTCAGCTGCACCTACTGAACGTCTTCAGTAGGTGCAGCTGCACAACTGTCCGCCAGAGGTATGCAGTACCAGGACCCCCATGGCACCGTTGTGTCTCTGCTCCTCTTCACCCTCTACACCTCAGACTTCACCTCCAACAGGGACAGCTGCCACCTCCAGAAGGTCTCTGGTGACTCGGCCATTGTGGGCTGTGTTTCTGAGGGGAAGGAGCTGGAGGATCGATGGTCATCATGAACTTTGTGGACTGTTGTGAGAAGAACCAACTGTGTCTGGACACCAGAACCAAGGAGATGGTGATGGACTTCAGGAGAAGACCCCCACCTCACTCCCCGTGAACATCCAGGGGCAGGACATAGAAACTGTGGAGTTTAGAATCCCTGTGTGTTCACATCAATAATAAACTGGACTGAGAGGAGGGAGCTGTCCAAGCTTCCATCCATCATGGACGCCACCTTCCACCCTCTGCAGCAGCCTGGAGAGGAGCTGAGCAGCTCCTTTAGTCAGAGACTTTTACAGCCTGTTTGGAAAAAGGAGCGCTACTGCAGGTCATTCATTCTGCTGCAACCAGACTCTACAATGAGACGCTACAACCACAATAACTGCTGCAATGGAGAATAATTACTATTTAATACCCTGTGCAATAACCTGTTCAATAATCATGTTAAATAAGAGACTTCAGCTGATGTAGTTAACTCACTATCTCACTGTTGCTCTTTACCTGGTAATACTTTAATTTGCAAAGCCAAATCTGTTGGGATCTGGAGAAGTACCACCTTTCTCCGGCAGAGTCCGCAGTGGGTCTCCTGGGCTAGAGCCCTCCTGCACACCTGGATCTCGTCAGCCTATCAGGAGACCTGCTCTACTTAAGCAGCTGCCAGACCTTCCTTCAACGCCGCAGTGTTGACCAAGTTTGGAAACTTGTCTCTTGTCTGAAGCTCTGGATGAGCTTAGCCTGTTACCTGCCTGCCTGCCCTAGAGAGCCAAACCTGAAGATCTCGCTCTGGAATCCATCTGCTGCTCTCAGGG